TGTTCCTCCAACATTGATGTTGACTGATCTCAGGAAGTAACTGATGGAACGGCTTTTTAGCTCAAACAAGAAAAGGGCCTGGTTTTGAAGCTGGTCTTTGCTTTTTGGGCTTCTTCCAATATTTCGAAGCTACAGAAATACTCTTAATTATATTGGAATGATGTGAATTTGTTCTTATAAAAGATTGAATTGCTCTGATTTCTTAGAAGTAAAGCAAAATATGTTGTAAAAATTAATGAATGTAGATGATAAAAATTAATGAATGCTGGTACAGTTAATATTGTAAGACTTGACAATTATTTATTGTGAATTTGAGACAACTTTTTTTAAATATAGGGTTACAGGATGATTATGTTTTGTAAATTTTTTGTTTGGTTTGTCTTTATTCTTTTTGCCAATATACTTTTATTTTTATTTTTATGTTCTTTGTAATAGTGGGAATGGAGATGTCGAGCAAAACTTGCTGTTCGGGGATCATCAAACAATCCTCTTATTGGACTTTATCAAGAGGGTACTCACTCTGTTGCGGATATTCCTTTTTGCCAAGGTTAATTTTCCAAGATCCTCCCTTTTCATTAATGTTTCTGATAAGAATAACATGCAACCTAAGAGACATGCAGAGACAAGGATTTTACAGTGTAAGATGTATACCTAGTGCCATTTTATTTGGAATTAATTACTTGATGAGATTAAAGTTTGCTATTTGGATTTTGCTGGTATTGGAACTAGAACTCATCATAACTTATGTTTCTATGAAGGATATCTGTTAAACTAACTTATGTTTCTATCAAGTATATATATTAAACTAAGGTTTGAATTATTTATTTATTTGTTGATTTATTTATTCTGCTTCCATTAAGACTTGGGGCAGATGCCCCTTTGTTGGGCCGGTCTCGCAGAAAGTCTTTGAAATGGGGGAAGTCTTGGTTTACCTGAGTCCCCTTAGCGCTTCAGTGAGGGGCCTAAGGCCCGATGAAAGATTAAATCCTTAATCCACACCTGAATCCTATAATGCATTTTTAGGTCATGGGACTGTTCTTCAAACCATATGTTGAAAGCTCAGATCTATATATAACTCAAGATTTGAGGTCTTTTGCCATTTTGGATATCAAGGATGGGCACCCATGAGCTATGTTACCATGACATAGACTCAGGTCATCTGCGACAACCCGAAATTAGGCACGGTTTTGAAACATCCATGCATTCTTTTAACAGAATAATGGGGAATTTATCAATTCACACCTAAAATATCAACTATTCTAACTCATGATTTTGATGGGCCTTTTGAAATTAAATCGAAAGAAATGGATGAAAAGTTAAAGGGAAAAGTTTATATAGAGCCTAGGCCCTAAACAATCAAATTAGAGCCTACCTCAAAAATTTCACTAGAACATGTTGTTTTGATGCCCAAATATCCTCAAATTGATCATCTCGCCATCAAGATGCATGGACTTGAGAAAAAAATGGATTTCAAGTTTTGGAAATAGTGCATCTTGTACGCATTTTTGGACCGTCAATTTTTAAGTTATTCAAGTTTTTATAGATCTGCTTGATCTACACTATTTTTGAAGCTTTAAATTTTATAATTAAAGATGAAAATATATTTTAAGGCTAGTCAAAGATTTCCAATATTGAAACAACATTTCTCGACACTATTTGAAGGTGGGCTCTAATTTGATTGTTTAGAGCCTCGGCTCTATACAAACCACACCCAAAGTTAAATAGTTCGTCTCTTGGGTATTTTTTGAAAATTTTCACTAAAATAATTATAAAAATAGAAAGTTGATTGATTTATACATAAAAGTTATCGACAAATTTAACTATTTAAGTAACCTTTTTCAAAAAAAAGAAAGAAAAAAGTTATCAACAAATGTCTATTTACAGAACTCTTTTATATACAAGGTCTAGGTTTTGAAATGAAGATCTGATTCAAGGTTCATAGGTTTTGAAATGAAGATCTGATTCAAGGTTCATTACTAATTGGATGGCTTATGACTCATTATAGGTGTTAGAAAGATGAGTTTTTTTATACACACACAAATAGTTTTGAAAGAAGTCTCAGCCCTTTTTAAAGGCTACCAGTGTTTTTTAATGTTTTGTCTCACGTCTAGTAGGTAGAAAGAGGGAGGGATAAGAAATCCTTTAATTTTTTGTCTCACATTGAGTAGGTAGTAAGAGGGAGGGATAAGAAGTCTTAGCCCTTTATAAAGGCTAACAGTGTCCTTTAATGTTTTGTCTCACGTCGAGTAGGTAGTAAGAGGGAGGGTAAGAAGTCACGACTCTTTATAAAGGCTAACTGTGTCCTTTAATAGTTTGTCTCATGTTGAGTAGGTAGTGAGACTTACTAACTCTCTAGCTTCTATACAAGAAGAATGTTCCTAATGAAGTTATAAAAAAAGATGGGAAGAATAGATACCAAACAAAATGAACGTCTTTAGTTATGATAAATCTTGTTACATAACATGTTTCTTGGATGTAACGTGCCTCAATACATGCGACCATGTGCATGTCATGACTGCTGAGTCATGTCTGTCGACATGTGAAAAGTGGGCGAAATCCACATGTTATAGTGACATGGTTCAAGAGGGGTATTCTCTAGCATTTGCTAATCTGAGTTTCTAAAGCATCCTGGATTCTGAAGTTCATAAGATCAAAATGTTTCAAATATTAGACTTTTAGTAGTGCATAAATTATTTTTTTGGAATATAATTGTCAAATTCTGACACTGCCAAATGCAAAAATTTCAGCAATTTTTTTCGTGTTAATATTTCCAAAATTTGGAGAAAATGCATGACACGAGCTCGTTCTCAGGGAAACTGAAGACAATAGTGTGTTGAATTGTGTGTTGATTTTCTGAGTTGTTGTTGGTTAGGCCTATGAATCTAGGGCAGGTTTTGATGTACTCATTATCACTGATAGTTCACTATTTCAATAAAGTTAATCTTGATAATGAATTATCTGTTGTTTGGCAGTGTGCATATAAAGTTATCTGAGATAGACCCATGGGCAGTTTTAAAGATAACTTTGTCCTTTTACTTTATTTTAAAGTAATTTGCTGCAAACCACACGTTTTCAGCCAGAAATAGCTGAAATCGTAAAAAAAGGTTTGATAATTAACAAATATTATATATAATACAAGTATATGTATCAAACAGCTAAAATAGTAATATTATGCAGAGTACACTAATTTCAGATACGGTAGTCTATTCCATATGAAAATAATTGTCATCCAAACAGTCCTCTATGTTACTTAGACATATGAAATTATCCCATTTTGTGTGTTTACATGACACAAGTCAACACATCATGTTGTACCACACAAATGTGGGTCATGCATGACATGCATGTCTTGTTAGAAGATATGCCATGTCTTGGGATAGTTATTTAGTTATGTAATTGAATATGAAAGTTTAATTTAATATATCATTTTTAAATTAAATGTTTGGGTTTGATTTATCTTTTATACAATTTTAAGCGAGATATACCCTTTTTATTCGAGTGACAGCTAGTTGTCTCCATCTACCTTTTCACTATGGGACTAAACATTGAGGGAGGCCCTTAGCCTTTATATAGGAATGAGAGTACTGATGTTCCTCCCTCCTTATTTTGGATAAAAAGCTTGTTTCTCTCTGTCTCTTATCTATATCTCTACATATGTATGTATACATATAAGCCGATAAGTGTAGTTTTATAATATGATTCTGTATCAATAAGTTAGCATTGTAGTAGAATGTGAAACCATAGTGCAGATTCACTCTCTCTCTCGCTCGTTTGCTTGCTCTTCATTCATTTAGCCAGGTCAACTCTTGGTTTAGCAGCTGAGATTCATTTGTCTTCCATAAATTTCAAATGAAGTGCACCAAACTTTGATATGATAGATGAAATGTTTTCTTCATTTCTGTTGATCAAATGGTAAAATGGCTTAACCACTGGAGTTAGGGTTCTTTGACTAAATGGACATTTTTTCATGGGGCCTACATTACTTATCTTTGCATTGTTAATAGTTAGTCGTTGTCTTCTGTAAATATTTATTTTTTTTGTTGCTGATGGTTTTGGATTGATTGAAGACTTATGTGTTGGACGTTTTGCTTGCAGCTCATCATCCCAGCATCAATGCTGCTGTCAACTTACTGAAACAAGGCATGGCTATTGTCTTTGTTGATAATGAGTTTTAGTGAAACTTGAAAATTACTGGAAAACATTAAAAACTTGCAACTTCCTTCAACATGGTTGCCTATAATTGTCTAGGTATTGCTGCATTGAGTATCCAGCCATATGATGAAGATATGGGAACTGGTGAACTGAGATATGTGCAGGTTGGTACTGTGGACTTCTGATTTTTGCCAAATGTGTGTTGATTGTTAAGAGAGTTGCATTTTAACATTCTGTTTTACAGTGTGCTTTGCTTTACGATAAGATAAAAACAATATGGAGAAGAATGTATCATGTTAAATTGGAGATAGTAATGGAGTCATATCTATGTTGATAAAAATATCTGGCTGTTGCTTGAATTCACTATAGCTCAGGGTGTTGCTCCAACATTTTCCATTCCCATATCTCTCTCTCTCACACAAACACACACACACACACACACACACTTCAGCTGTCCACAGTTGGTTTACAAGGAGATGTGACAAGCTAGACCCCATTATACCCACCTTGTATTGTCTCTTTGCTGCCTAATCTTTCTATGCTATCTGTCCTATATATCCTTATCCTTTTGATCTATATGCTCTGTTTGGGCTCGTTTGACCCCGATTAGATTTATACTTCCCTTATCAGTGACATGGTTAAATTTTTTAAAGGGCCAAATAAATGTAATTTGGAATATAACTCTCCCTACCTCGAAAAGAGCACACGAGGATGTAACTAGAACAGCAAGAAATTTATTTAAATTTTATGTTACTTTTTCCTTATAACAGTTTAATATTCTGAAATTTTACTTCATTCCATTAAAACCGTCACAAATTCGCACTATGGGGGAAGGTCAATAATGATATGATTTACTGCTTATTGGTCTTCAAATTGTTGATGTAAAGAAAAATCATGGGCCCTGCACCACATTATTGAAAGTCTTAAAGTTACAAAAATGATTCTCAAACAGAATGAACGTTATTGACTTCCTTCTAGGTAACCGTTGCCACTAAAACCTTTCTTGTATTTTCACAAAGGACAGCTGACTCTTGCAAATGTCTTATGCTTCCTTTTGTTGTATTGATGAAACTCAACACCCTTCTCGCCAAAAATTATTTGATTAATTTGAATTTATCTTTGGATCTCAGGCATGTTTCTCTTTGTATTTAGTCTTAGTTACTGTTGCACATTTCCTTATCTTCTCCTGTTTCTGAAATTCCTGCAGATGGCCGTGACTACATATAATACATCACTGCCAGTTGGAGAACGTTATAGAAATGGTTAGTACATCTGGCGCATTGGTTAGTGATTTAAGTCTTATATATTTTCTTATTTCATATTTTTTCTATCTGTATTCACTTTTGCTTTACAGTTACGAATATTTTGTGAAGGCTTAGATTCTTCTCATTGGTCACCAGGCAGAGTTCAGGTGGCTCTAGTTTGGAATTCAAGAAGCGAGCAGTCTCCCGGTGTTGAGAAGTTGAATGCTCTCTCAGATGTAAAGATATAACTTTCTCTTAGAATCACCGCACATTGCTTACTGATATTTGATCCAAGAGCTAAACTTTGTTGCTCTGATCTTATTCTGGAATTTCATTATTTATTTCTTTACTGAATTTGACTTTAACATTTTTAGTTCGGCCTTCTTGAGTGCTTGCCTCAAGCAGTTCACCGTTGTCCTTCTTGCATCAACTTCTTTCATTGTCTCTTAACTATGGTAATGTGAAGTGTCATGCAGTTTCTGTGGAGCAATGGCGGATGTAGTGCTGACTTTCATCTTATTCACTCTGTGTGGGCTAACTTTCAAACTTCTTCTAATAATGTAAGTTTTAAGAATAGTACCCTCAGACTTTTATTTGAGATTCTCACTGTTTCTATTGCTACAAGTTACAAGATATTATTTATATGGTTATTTTGTTTTCTTACTTGAGCAACTTATTACTATTGCTTCTAGATGCTGTTTGTGCTAAGAAGGAATAGCTTGGAATTGCACCATGTGGATCATTATTTCAATAAAAGAACTATCCATGTGAAATTGAGGGTATACCTGAAAATTTTTCATACTAACTTTGAATTTCTATTTAAGGGTTGTTTCCCTTCAAAGAAGCATGTATGGGATAATTTAAAAGAACATATAATTGGATGGTACTTCCAGGAGAAAAGAGATTGAAAGTGTTGCAGAACAGGTTGAATTGCTGTGTAGATAATTAGTGAAATCTTATCTAAAAGAGTTGGGATTTATCTCTTACTCCGACAGCTCTGAGTGTTGTTGTGAGGATACTTGTGCATAGCGATCTCTTGAGAGCTCTTTTGCATTTCATTCCTTTTATATACACTTTGTACTTATTTCACACATTAATACAATGGGTGGGTTACTCACTCAAACCCCTTGCTAACTTGGTGAACAAAAAAAATGAAAATAAGAAAATCTCTCCATATATTAGGGGAGAGACCATGAGACCTTCTTACATCTTTCACATGGTACATAACAATGCACTACGAGAGCCTCTAGGAAGTCAGGAAAGCACTTTTCTTATCCTGGTGAACTTTTTATTTTTATGTTTCTGAAACCTCTTGAACGAGTATCTTTTTTTATGGGAGAAAGTGAATAAATATTTGTTGATATTGATTCCACAAAAATTGTTGAAAATGATGACATATCTTTGAATACAAATGAGGAACACAAAATTTAATTTGCTGAAGTATATTTTCGGGAGAGAAATGCTACACAAAGTTAACTGTTTGGCTATTATGTGTATCTCATTTTGCCTATTAGTCACCTTTATTTCTTTTGAAATCTAGGTTCCAATGAAACACATATAACCAAGATCTGGGTTCAAATTTGTATTGTTCTTGATTGCACAATTCTCACTTTTCAAAGAAACACGTCCCATAGGAAGAGCTGCAAAATTTTGTACATTGATTCATCTCAACTACAAGAGGTACATGAATTAACTAATATGCAATGACTATAGCTTGATATGGGGGTATTTGTACAGGAATTATGAATAACAGTCACCAATTAAACAAAAGAAAAAGAAGTCGTAGAGAACAATCGACCTGAATGAAAGATGAAGATAGAGGTTATGGATAAGTGGAGAAGGAGAGTAGCTGAATGTCCAAGACTAACCATAGTGTACTCGGACGTCCTTCTATATATGTATTATATGTATGTATCAAGGTTTCAAAAAACGCTAGGCGGCCTGCCAGGCGCCCAGCGCCCAGCGCTTAGGCAGGCGCCCAGAACCTCGGGCGCCTTGTAGTTTTTTCACTTTGGGGGTTTTTATATATTGATTTTTTTTTTTTTTGGTGCTTTGGGGGTTGAAAATAAACCCCATAACGTTTTTATAGAACCTTGGGGGTCAAAATGACCCTTTTTACCCTTTTGGGTGGTTTAAAGCACGAAAAAAGGCCTTACGGCCCTGGGCGCCCGCCTAGGCGCTTGCCTGGCCCGTCTGGTTGCCCGCTTAGGTACATCTGCCCGTGTAGGGTCGCTTGGGTCTAGGCGTGCGGATTTTTGGTCCAGGCCACCTAGGCGGGCACCTAGGCGTCAGGGAGATCGTTTTTAAAACATTGGTATGTATGCATGTATACATTATTATGAACATTGTTTATGAGCTTGGCTGAATCGACTTGGACTTAGTTGTGTTACTCGGACTTGGCTTGTTGCTGAACCAAGCACTTGGGGAAAATCGGGGTGTTTAAAAAATTCAAAAATTATATTAAATTGTGAAATCGGTTTACAGATATTTTGTATGTGATGCTTTTGATAATGATTTGTGAGTTTTTCTTATCGTATGCCCTATATTTGTATTTTCTTGAGATGTCTCCACTTGTAAATCAATTTTTTTTTTTTGAGTTTGTTTAGACTTTTTATGTTGTTTTTGTTGGTGGTATAAGACCAAGAGGCTAGATACACCTCATTAATTATTATTTTTTCATTAAAACACTAGGCTTTAAATACATGAATATCTCAATACAAAACCATAATACATAAATTTCAACCTACAAGCTTGGTTTATGCACGTTTGAATAAAAAACAATTCAACCCTAATAGGTCCCTTACAAATCCCTTACTAAAAAATACAGTCAAACTCAATACAATGTTAAAATACGCACAATGTACATCTCTACGACATATTACATGACTTGCACTCAATATTCTTCATTAAATCAAAATTAAATAGTGATATCTTCTTCGATCTTCATCCTCATCATATGCCACATTATCTTATACACATCATACGCTTGATCATAATAATACAATGAAATCTCTATTCACATAAATAATAAAGTGTAACATTGAAGTGTATACTCTATAGTTATAAGAGCAATCTCAATATTCACGTAATATACTCAATTCTATCAATCATGAATCACTCAATGACTGTAAATATATCAAATTAACATGCAAACAAATATGGGGAAAGCAATGGTTTGAACCCCTTGTGCCTGGCTCACAATCGGGGCTTTTAAGGACTTACTTTTGTCCCAAAGATGAGCGTACGAGTGGTTTATTTATCTCACGGGTATCTATCCAATTTGGGAAGCTTAAACACCTTTACAAACACTTCATATGGTCTATAATCAATAATAAAATGAATCCACAACAATTTGCAAAAAAAACGAGAGAGATCTGATCAAAATCGAGTAAGATAGAGCAAAATTATATGGTACAGTCTACCGGACCACCAAAACGGGATTGCATGCAAAAGTATGGACTCTAAATGATTCAAGGAGTTAATAGATCTCTGGAATTTGAAACTTGAGTATAAGAAATGTACCAGAAAGTTCATATATAATAAAAATCAAGGGTAAACTATACTCAATCAAAGAATCATCAAGGTATGAAGCTTATACTCAAGTGGGTGACTACCCTATAAAACGCAATCATAAAGATCACTTGAAGCAAATGATAAAAGGATTACAAAACTACCGTGACTAAGAATTTACAGCAAGCTTTGAAGTGGAATAGGATGAAGAACAATTGGGAAAAACTCGACGGAGTGTTACCTTGATGATGGCTTAACACGAACTCTATCTCATGTAGTGAATGATCGCCCTAAAGCTACAAATATAATCAATGGAATGCAAGTTCTACAATGGTTGGTGCATAGAACTCATGGGAGCTCTTGCTCTCTCTCTAGGTTCCTTTTTCTTGTGAAAATTTGTTTTTCAAAAATTAGGATTATGTTGGACCATAAGATTGTATTTATATGAAGTGTTTGAGTAGGATTGAATCTCAACCCTTGATGCAAATCATCAATAGCACATGAGAGGGTAGTTATCCTAGCCACTCATTCCCATCCACCATCAAGATGAAGGGATGAGATTTGCCACCATTATCACACACTAAAACCCTAGGTCAAAACCACATTTACCTTATTATCCTTAACCCCATGCTTTTATTTCAAACATGTTCAAGTGTACTTACAAAAATACCCTTAACATTTATTTATTTCAAGAGTGCAGAAAATACCCAAGCGCAAGGGTCAAAACAATAAATGGTGTCATTGCATGGGAAAGGCAAAAGGAGGGTTATGACACCACCAATAGAATCAACCCAACCCGTACCCTTCACACCTTCACATGGGTCACACCAATGAGGTGCATCCACATGAAATATTCACATGCAATATTTCGCATATGGATATAAATTTTAATAACAAATTTTATTTCAAAATTCCCTTGGCTTTACACAACCAAGAATGTCACATGTGTGACAATTACCGATGTGATTAAAATGTAACTTTAAGTTATAACCATATAACATATGGTTTGGAAATCAAATTACATAATTTAGTGTCAAAAGGGGATCCATGCCCAAATTAGAAGGAGGCCCAATGTGAAGGGCCCATGGTGCCACGTGGCCACCCTATGGCCACTCGGGTGCCATGTGGCATCCACATGAATGTCCTCATTTGGAATTAAGGTCAAACAATTTTAAAAAACACATTTTTGGTGCTTTAAAAAATCCGAAAAGATCTCCAAAAAATCCCAATAAATATTTGAAACATATTTACATCATTTCTCATCATAATTAAACTAAAGGTATATGTGAGATCTCAAGGCTTTCACTTAGTAACATGAGTACTCCATTACGCTAGTCGCGAATGATGGTCCACCGGTGTCTCAAGTTCACCCAACGGACTTATGCTTCATAACCTATGGCAGTGACACATAATTGATCACATTAAAGTCATTGAGCCAAAGCTTCCTACCATCCGGCTTATCAATAGATTACAGGTGTACCCCTGTGGGACATATTACTACTCTATTTCAAGGTTTTTTCAAGCACATGTGTACTAGCTCTTCTAAGTCGGATAATACTATAGAATAGTGGCTTCCCCATGCGACTGTGGGTGCACATGCCATGGAACGGTCTCATGTCAAGATATGGGTTCATGTCCCATAAGCTATGACCATTCCATACACTTGGGTTCTATTGTTCTCAATTTGGATTCTCCATGCCTTGGCTTATCACATCAACTATGAGGCATTCTAACCTATATAGTCCTGACTTGGAGGTGACCCTTACACCTCCCCGAGAGATTACTCTCTCCAAAACGCAAGCTCCCAATGCCTTATAAAACTCGGAGTAATATGAATCTGGGCCCCAGTGCGCTAAGCACCCAGATTCAGGCTCTCTCTAGCTCCCACTAAGCAGAAGAATTTTGGCTTTAAGACCTTGAAAGGCCACATAGCCAACAGTTTTTGGTTTAGTTTGATTTTCACTATTTTATTTTATTTTTAAATTTTTTTATTTTCTGGGGCTTTCTTGGAGTGGACTTGCTCGAGTTATCGACTTGGGCGGGCCCCAAGTCTCGAGCCGGAGCTGAGTTTCTGAATATTGGCTAACAATACAAATATACTCAATGCAATCTCAAATGTTACACATATGAGTACAAGATGAATAAGACCATACAAATGCCTTCGATCACTTGCCCTTTAGAAGTCTCTGTCTTTGTTTGGTCAACCCTTTTGTAAAAATGTCTACCACCTATTCATTGGTCCAAAAAAACTTTGCCACTATTCTTTGTCTTCAATTTTCTCTCACAAAGTGTCAATCTATCTGAATATGTTTGGTTTTTTCATGAAGCACTGAATTCATGGAAATGGCTATAGCACTTTGACTGACATAGAATAGAACACTACTACGCGACTGAGACCAGGAACAATAGAAGGGCTTCTTATCCATGTAATTTCAGAATTGACTTCTACCATTGCCCTATACTCAGCTTTTGGGATTGACCTTGTCACTGTCCTTTGCTTCTTGGTACACCGGATACGAAGTTGTTGGTCATAAGCACACAATAAACGTGTAACTAACCTGTTGGTACTTGTTTCCCTAGCCCAATTTGCATATGAAAAGGCATTCCATATGGGATTGACATTTTTGGCAGCCTCTAGATGATCTCTTCTAGGATGATGCATGTATTGACTTATTTAATCAACTGCCTAAGATATATCTAGTCTTGTGAAGGTAAGATACTGTTACACACCAACTATACTTTTCTATTCTTCTGGATTTGAATTAAGTTCTCCAAAATTTTCATTCTCTCTCAATCCCCTATTCAAAACAAGAGCTGCTGGGGCTTGTTTTGCATCTAACATCTCTGTACCTTTTAAAAATCTTAAAGCATATTTGTGTTGCATAAGCATGATCCTATATTTCTTTCTTTTTTCAACTTCTGGGAAATATGTTATACTACCTAGGTCCTTCTTTTGGGATGCATTAAGGAAAACTTCTTTAATGTGATTCAACATTTTCAATAAGGTGCCTGTAAATATGATATTATCTACATAAAGTAGTAGAAAGGTGATCTCTTCCCGTCATGCTGAATAAATAAGGAGTGATTCGTTCAAGCTATCTGAAATCCATGCCTCCTTACTACCTTACAGAAGCTATCGAGTTAAGCCCGTAATACCTGCCTTAACCCATATATCACCTGGTTTAATTTGTACACCATGACTTTTAGGTCTCCTTCACTGTATTCCATTGGCTGCTCCTTATATACTTCTTATTTTTGGTCCTCATGTAAAACGGCATTCTTATTTTTGGTCCTCATAGCCATAGATGATTGAGAATAAAGCTCATGAATGAGATCCCATAATTCTTTGGTCGAATGAACACCTATCACATGAGATATAATGTCCTTGGGAATTAATGAAAATTTATCCAGCCTTTGTGAATGGTCTATGGCAAACCAGTTCTCATATTCAGGGTTGGAGACTAATTGCATGACCTTATACCCTCTTTGAGGACAATCTCTTTCTCGATGAGTTTTAGAGGAGAAATGATTCCATCAAGGTATGTCATTCATCTCAGCCCACGTAGGATTGGAACAATTAAATTTTTCCGAATCATGAAGTTGGTAGAGTCCAGTTTAATAGAGATCATATGTGTGCATCTTAGGAGTCACAAAAACGTTTGTAGATGAGTAAGCTATGCAAGGATAAATGAGGCGATGAGACTTCACAAAATAAAGAGAATTTAGGGTTTGAAACTTCAGTTGTGGTTCAAATAAGAGAACTTAGGTTTTGAATAATTTGGACTGTCAATTTGAAACTTCTGAAGGAAAATTCAGATCTATTATGAAATTTTTATATTTGATTTTAGGATTCACACAAATCTGATTCAATGTTTTAAGATTCAATTTCAGGGTTCACATAGATATGATTTTAGGGATTCAGATCTGATGTAGGGTTCAGGCAGATCTGATTTGAAAATTTGAGATCTCATTTGAGAGGGAAGATTCTGATCGGATTTCAAGAGAGGAGTAAGATACAAGAGTATTGACCTAGAAGGAAGTGGTCGAGATAGGCAAGATTAGGGTTTGTAGTGAAACAAAGGTAGAATAAAGGAAGGAAGACACTGCCACCAGTATGTAATACACACACACATACACCACCATGTGTGTGTAGGAGCCGATTTTGGTATGCCAGCTCGTATATGCAATAGTGTATATGTCCAACGGCACAATAGTGTATGTCCAACGGTACAATGTGAATCTGTGCGATGTCCATGAATGCATTTCATTTATTTTATTTTTTACAAATCCAGTTCACATGAAATGTGGGTCATAAACTCTTACAAATCAGGTGTGCGCAATAAAAAAATATTAGAAATAATTTGTAAAATAAAGGTCGACCAAAATACCCTTGGAACATTGAGGTGTTTTTTGGTCTTTTACGTGAATTATTTTTTTGTTTTTCTATTGAGTGCATCCTGGTTATATCTACAATTTCAGGGGTATTTGGGTTTATTTTTATATTCTTAGTTATTTTTTATATATTAATTGGGTGCACCCTAGTTATATATATATGCCCCCTCAAAATTTCATGTCAAATAAAAAAATTTAAAATGTGACATTGGCCATCCAATTGGGCAGATTAAACATCACGTTGTTGGGCGTACATGGTTCCACATCTTCCAAATCTTTTTCCTTTTACATATACGTATATATTATGTTTGCATGCATGTATGTATGTATGTATATTGTGCAAGACTTCCCTATGTTCTCCACATCCATTGAATGAATCTGTTCAATGTGTGCAGATAATCTTTGGAAATAGGTGGAGACATTTGATAGGAGAACGAGATTTTTGGGAGCATATTGGAGGAATTGATATCTCTTTGATTCCATCAAGCTTTGGTCAAGCAAATACGAAGGTAATTCCAAGGGCATGTTGGCTATCTCCTGGTTATCAAATTCAATTCTTTATGCCCAAAAATAACCTGCAATTATCAGGAAAAAAAGGAGAAATTGGTGCTGTATCTATGCATATAACTTGTGTGTGATATTACGAGTGTTATAATTAATTGTTACTCCCTCTTGCAGGCAAACTTCATTGTTCATCATGATTTTCTTGACATCTATAATTCAGTATTCTATTTTCTTTTTTTGTTATTGAGAACATGTGTTTTTATGCAATTATCTACTTTATTATACCTTGTAGATCATATTATACATAGTCTATCCTTTCGAATGCTGAACCTTGTCTTTTTGCAGATTTTGGACCCTAGTTTTAACTTTCAACCATGTGTCAAAGTGGGATTCTCTTTCCCTCTTTTCATTTTCTAAGTAATAAATTCATTTGTGTAAATCTGAAAGCTCAGAGAAGAAAAGTAGAACTCGCACCAACAAACCTAGCTTCTTTCCAAATGGAGTCTTCCGTGCACATATGCTCAGAATGGCACCTTACTACAATGCTCAGAATGGACCCTAGTTTTAACTTTCAACCATGTGTCAAAGTGGGATTCTCTTTCCCTCTTTTCATTTTCTAAGTAATAAATTCATTTGTATAAATTTGAAAGCTCAGAGAAGAAAAGTAGAACTCCCACCAACAAACCTAGCTTCTTTCCAAATGGAGTCTTCCGTGCACATATGCTCAGAATGGCACCTGACTACTATTCTAGTTTTTCATCATTCCACAAACAGGTCTGCAACTTAGCACTCCTGTCCTCTTTTTTCTTTGAAATATCACTTTAGTTCTGATCTTCTTCTGCATTATCTTCTCCATCCTAGAATAACTTGGTAGAACCATTATGGTCCTTTTCCATCTTTCTTGTCAAATGTCACTTGATTTCCCTTAGATGACTTTCTTGCCAAACGTCATTGAATTTCCCCTTGAGAATTTCCCCTTGATGACTTTCTTCGATGACCCGTTTTTTACAATTTGGGTGATTATGTGAAGTGAGTATTATAAGAACCGATAGGCCAACAACACTAATACACCATTTTAGTTTGATCTGGTCCATAGTCAGAGCAGTTAATGAAAAGAAGCAGAAGTTGTAGGACGGTTAAACCTTCTTAATAACCTATTCCACAAGCGCAATCACTATGACTACTATGAGAAAAATATATATTTTTTGTTTTTTGTGAGGAAGGATTAATTTTGTGCTTTGCCTTTTCTTGGTTCAAGGGTCAACCTCTTGGGTCTGGCAACTGCTGAGTTTATAATGCTATAAGCGAACATCATGGGTCGCAGAAGATTCAATTGCACGGCAACCTAGAATGAAAACTCTCCTTTCTTATTTTGTTTTTTATATTTAGGTAGCAGCTGGTCAAGAGGGACATCACACCCTTGACTCGTTTTGAAATTGAATGGTCATTTGGTCTAGATTTTGTATAGTGAATTGTTTGGTTTAAGAGATTTTAAGCTATTTCATATGTTTCCGTGTTATGCCCATTTGGAATGTTAGTGATCCTCTCTTTAGGATCATGTTTATTTTCCCGTTCAATTTTACCATCACAGTGATTGGTTTTTTCCCTCAAAATTAGAAGTATGATATGGCTGGAATCCATACCATCAGGTATTTTTCCTTGAACATCAATGAGCCACAATAACTGTACCTTTTGCTGCGAAGTATGTTTCCAAGCGAATTTCTAATTTAATAATAAAAATTAGTTTGAAAATCAGTTTATATTCAGTAAGGGACATTACATGCTTTCATGGATGTGGAGTAGATACTTAATAATCTCCCGAGGACTTCAACTTTAGTATTTGATTCCATTTATTGGTCTCCTTGGATATGGATGGTGTGGGTTTCCCCACAAGACAAACTGCAATTCTTGACTTTATGGCAAGTAACACAGATTTGGTTCAAAATAAGCCCATGAAGTTTAAATTGGGAAGATCAACTTAGACAAACTTATGCTTCAAAAAGAGCAAAAAAGGAAAAAAAACCGTTAAAAACCAAAGAACAATAAATACTGTGAAATGGAAAAACAACACTTTATGGGGCTATTGGGGGGTAGTATAAATTAAGGTTTCAAAAAATGCTAGGCTGCCGGCCTAGTGCGGAGCACCCAGCACCCAGGCACTAGAACCTCAGACACCCTGTAGTACAAATTCTTTAGATATATACATACATGTGCCGTCCAAAGTCCAAACACACATATATGCATATATTTGTGGCAATTTTGTAATTTATTCCATTTGAAAATATTGTAACATATTTTTTTATATATATACATATGTATATAAAAATTCTTTAGATATATACAAATTTTTTATATACAAATTCTTTAGATATATACATACATGTGCCGTCCAAAGTCCAAACACACATTTATGCATATATTTGTGGCAATTTTGTAATTTATTCCATTTGAAAATATTGTAACATATTTTTTTATATATATACATATGACATATCGCGTGTTGAGAATAAACTTGTTCAAAATTTGAAAATTCAAACCATCCAAAATTAAAAAAGAGTTTAGAAGTCTAATAGGCTATGTATTAGTAATGGTCTCCAACTCTCCATATGAGAAAATAATTCCAATGAGAAAAGAAAAGTTAAGGAACTTCTTCAAACCACAAAAATTACTTTTGATTCTCATAAAAGCTAAGAGATTGACGGCTTATAGAAGTGTTCTTTTAACTTTGGGGGGTTGAAAATAACCCCAATAACTTATTTAAACCTTTTTGGGAAATTACCCCCTTTTTCCCTTTGGGCATCTTTTAAAATAAAAAAAAGGCCCATGTGCTTGGGCGCCTGCCCAGAATGGGGCGTCCAAGTCTAGGCGTGCGGCCAGTGGTGTCTTGGGCGCTTAGGCCCCAGGCAGACCCTTTTTTAGAACATTGGTATAAATCCATTAGCCCCATGAAATTTTGAATGGGCTCAATGGGAGTTTGAATAAGAAAAAGTTTTGTTTTTCCCAATATTAACTCATTTAATATGAATTTTGGATTAATTACGATTTCTTTAATCATTTGTTTCTTAATTCACAGGAAAGAAATTAACTTCTTTAATATAAGGAACACACCATCCATTGCGGCTTACAGGGGAATCATAGCTAAAGCAAAATATATGAACTCCTAAGGGAGAGTGAGCATGCCTTTGATGTTTGTGGAGGGAGGGAGGGATGGAGGGCCAAAGGGAGGAGGGAGGTGAGGGGTTCAAACATTGTGCTGAACATGTCTTTGATGTTTGTGAAAAAATGACTTATTAATACTAGAAAATTGGCCCTCTTTTTTTTTTTTTGGTGTTTCACATCACAAACCTTGTTTAAGATGTTTGGAATTTGGTTTCTGAATGCCAAGTTTGGAATATTCCCTAACCTTTGGTAGGTCTTCATCCTTGCAGGCATTTGATTCTCTCCTCCAAAAGCTACAAAAATATATTCCTTATGGAGCTTCTGTTGTAGATTTGTATGCAGGCGCTGGCGTCATTGGCCTATCTTTAGCTGTCACTAGGAAATGCAGGCAAGTGCTGGTATTTCTCTCAAGGGAATGCATACTATAGCAATGGTCCATGGAAAAGCACAATTTGGTTTTTCTCCAAAATTTTGGAGGAAAAAAATCAGGTAAAAAATATGGATTGCCAAAAATTATTTAAGTTAGAGAATCATGAATTTTTTGGATTTGGCTAAAAAAAAGGAGTAAAAAAATCGGATATTTAAAGATGACACAATATAGGATTATGAGTTGCAATTATTGTATGGATGCATTAAAACCATGCACAATTATTGTATGGATGCATTTAAACCTTCTTTTTTTTTGTGAGAGGAGATGTTTAGAAGTTTTCAAGGCATCAAACAACTTGAACTAGACGCCCAATCTCAAGCTACAAGGTGTAGTCATTCTTTTTGATGCCTAGACACCCATTCTCGTGATAAAGTCATAGGGAGGAAGTTTTTTTGAATTTTCTTTCTTGCAAAAGATAAAATATGGATTTATATCAGTTCCATTAAAAAAAGGTAATTTTTTTAAAAACTCGGAATTCTTAATGAATTTTTAAAAATCCGATATTTTTTGAAAAATCATATTTTAATCAGAGACTTGCTGACTATGATTTGACTACACTCACTATAGTATGGTTCCCTTTCTCTAAATTCTTGTTATATGCAATGTCACAGCTGTGCCTTTCAGATGTCAAGGATAAATAATTGAGTTTTGCAGGACTGTAAAGTGTGTAGAAGTTAACAAAGAGTCTAAAATATCTTTCGAGAAGTCCATCGGGCGCTTACCCAAATCTTTAGATTGCAACATCAGCTGGCACCACGCAGATGTTTCAGTTGTTGGTTCTTAAATCTCTGGCCATATATTTAATATCAGTACCATGATATAGCTAGAAAATCAGAGTACTTGTATCTTACATCTGAATGTTTTTATAATGTATTTTTCTATGCTTTTCAGGAGCCTCTCTACTGGCTTGAGAATGCCGACGTTGTCGTGGTTGATCCCCCACGGAAAGGGTTGCACCCATCTCTTATAGAAGCTCTTGGGAAACTGTCAAAATTGGGAAAGAAATCTGTTCGTATGTCTGGAAGGTGAAACTTCATGAAAGTTTTTCTCTTGTCTAGGGACTTCCATATTTTTTGATGGGTAATCCAGTGGACCATGGAAGCATACCCCAAAAAAAAAAAGATTTGGAGGGCACTGGGCTACCACTGTTCATTGGCATGGATGGCAGAGAGAAAGTGATACCATCATTGAATCCATGTCCTGTTCTACTGGGTACCGCTCTCTGCTTCAGTATCCATTGTGTTGGACTATGGTTTCTCCATGCCTGCACTGTCGAAGTTGGTGGAGTATGTTTCTTCCATGGTCCATCAGGTTATAATGTGCTGTCCCTTTTGGAATTATCTGTCTGCACCTTGACCATAATGGTACAGGCAGAATTTATCTATAGAAATGGTCAATAGGAGGCCACATGTTTATTGATGTTCACAATTTGCGCTGTGTTATGTTTTCTTGGAAGTTCATCAATGTGTTAATATTTAATTTTGCTCGAACAGTTCTGATTTAAAAGGAAAGGAAGAAAAAAGACCATGGGTTCTGCGGGCAAGGGAAGCCTGTGTTGAAGTAGAAAGTGAGACAAATTTGGACAAACATCAATCATGGCCTCAAACACTCATTTATATAAGCTGTGGTTGGGAAAACTTTAAGGAGGTATCATGTAGCATGCTTACTGACCAAGATCAACTTGATTGTTGGGGATTTCCTGTTTTTCTTGTTTTATGTATGGTGTATTCAGATAATGGTGGGGGCCCGAGGTTTGTTTATATTTTCTGAAACTCAGTTATCCTGAACAGGATTGCCGGTCTTTGTTGTCCAACAATACATGGCGTTTGGAAAAAGCCCATGCTTTCAACTTTTTCCCTGGCACCCAAAGGTATCAACTTTGCATTCTTGAACTTAGCTACGTGTTGCTCAATTTATTGATTGAAATTTATATTAATATCATCATCATCATCATCATCTTAGCCTTATCCCAACTATTTGGGGGAATTTATATTCATATAACACCTCAAAATAGAAATAGATATTTTGAGTTATAAAAAGTCATTTGACACTTGTAGTTTGGTGTCCAAAATGTCAAGTTCTAAAGGCTTTGTAGCCTATGTTGTCTTGTCAGGCTATCGGGAGACGGGAACTGGCAAAGTATTTGATATGTTTGTGTTTATAGCACACACATACACATAGAGTACCTGATATGTTTGTGTTTATAAGACACACAAACGCAAACACCCCTGAAAGGTGAACTATGTGACTGGGCAAGTCCATACCAATTAAAATTTTTCTACTCTTTTATATATATTGCCACTCTCTTATATGTATTGCCACCCAGATCACTTACAAGTGCCCAAAATACAATTTTGACTTAATGAAATAGCCAAAACCTCTCACTTGCATGCCATAAAAAGAAAGTTACATTCATCATATAAAACTGAAAATTACAAAAGCACGAAATCATGAAACAACTCGTACCTTGCCTCAGGTTACCCCCAAGGGCTTCGTACACCCCAAACCGGGTCTCCTCCACCGATGACACACAGGATCTCGATTCAAGAACACACCTCACAATTAGGGAAGCATAGGCAAAACCCTTAGAGAGCATCACATGGCAAAACCCTTAGAGAGCATCACATGGGATTTCTTTGACCAAGGCTCGACACATGAGCATGCGGCAAGAACCTAGGGCTAGGGCTTGTGTGGCTTGGGTATGCCACCCCTTAGGTTTAACCTTCCTAAAAGATAATTTTTTATGAGAGAAAGAAAGAGAGAAAGCTAGAGTGAGGCGTGCCCCCTTTGGCTGCTTGGAAAGAGAGAGATACAGAGATGAGAAGTAGAAACCCCCTTAGCTAGTATATATAGACAAGAGGCTAGGGTTTCTAGGGTTAGGGTTTTGCCATCATTGTGATGTTTAATCTTGACCTTTGATCATGAAGATATATGGGGTGAAGGGATTTCAGCCATTCATTCCTTAAATCAGCCATTATGATTAAAGGAATGATGTGGAACCTTATCCTTTAGTTTCCAAAACTCCATACCCATCAAATATTTTGTGTAGAGAAAGTATTTAATACATACTATTTGATATCTTACACTTTCTTATCTAGATTCAATTTAAATCTCTACATCTGAACTTTTCAAAACTTTAAAACAACACATGCCTTAGAAGGCACATGAAACAAAAGGAAAGGTTGCTTGGGGTGGTGCGCACCACCCATTTGGTGTCCATGTGGGCCCCACACCCCACGTATTGGTGGGCCCATTGAACCCCATTGGCCCTCAATATATCAATATTAATTTTTAGATATTAAAACACAACCTTCAAATATGTTATTTTTCTCTCTGATTAAAAATAAATCCAGAAAATTGATTTTTCCTCATATAAAAATCATTTTTCAATAAAATAAAATACTCATAGAGGTCTAAAAATTCATTTTAATTATTTATAAAATAATTGAGACTTATTTAAACATATTAAATAAGATTTGATGGGAATTGGATCCATAGAGTTAGGATTACGCCAAATATACTGAGGACTCCATCCTCTCTAAACACTACATCTTCTCAAACTGACCCAACCGATCCTATGACCCACAATCCATCGTAGGGATTCATGATTGGACAATCAAATTCAGCCAATAAATGGAGAAGATATAATCCTAGACCATGGATTACAGGTCCCTCCCTGAAGAAAAGTCCAGGGCCTATCTCAACAGTGTGCTCCATGGGTCCTTCCAACACAGTTCAGTGTTGCAGGGCGTCATCTCTTCCGTACATGTACATTTTACACACCCTTATCCAAAGGGTCGCTTCCTGAACGACTATCTAGTGTATATGTCGTGTGATGGTAATGATGAGGATTAAGGTCCTTGTCCTCTTAGGCCATCCATCACACACAGGGGTCAAATCCATGTCCCCTGGCTAACTGTCCTAGGCACATCTCCAATCTCATCTAGGGATAACCCCACATCGAAACCCTTATTGGTTGTGTTTACACGATACCCAGGACTACGGGTTTTGGACTTCACATTGAGTCATAGCTAGTCAAAACTCATGTGAGTCTGCGGCATTGTTAATGTCCCACAGTCCAAGCTGGACCGTACTCCCATTAGAGTCAATAATGCATTATATATTTTCAGTATATGCTCTCATAAGGCCTTTAAATGGCCACAAAAACCTAACAACCCCTACCCCAATATACATGGGACCTAATAGAAATGGAACTCGATATGCCACGTTGTTGCATCTCGCCATCCTAACTAGTGCATTAAGCCCATTCCTAGGTATGGTCTACCAGGTTCTCAAGAGTCTGAATCCCCAAACTCGTATATCAACCAACTCAATGATTTAATATCAATAGTTATGCGTTGGGAATCAGGATTCAATTGACTATGAGGCAACTCGTCATTCGTTTTGGTATTAGGTTGTATCTTTTAGAATATGTGGTCATATTCTTGATAATTAGGTATGATTGTAATTTGTTGCACTTTAAAGTTCATTTCATTGTGAAATGAATGTAATGGTCAACAAACACTGGTTTGCCGATCAGAATTCCCTGCTCACCAATTTGGATTAGTTTTCCATGTGGCTGGTTTGCCTGGGCAACCCTGGTTTTTGAAGCACTGGCTTCAATATATATAGATCCTTTGTTGGCTAAAGACATAGGGTCAACATCATGTAGATTATTTTTTGGTTAGTCCGTTCAAGTGACGACCTGCATTTTAGAATTGGGTCTTGGCCAAATATACGTCAACACTTCTTGAAACCGCATCGATTACATTTAAAGGTGTTTTTTTTATGGGAAGTTATATTTCAAGGAGACGCAATGTATTGTTTCTCCGAAACATTTCTGATGAAATAAAGGCTCAGGAAACAACTCTCATATACTTGGGTCCTTTCATCCATACAATGTGGTGTAGTAAATGGGAGAAACCATTGTTAAGTGCTCAAAACTTTGTTGAAATTCTCATCACTCAGAGCTCTCTTTTTCTTGGACTTCAGAGTATGTATATTTCATCACTATGGGCTTTCAAGGATGGTTTATATCTATTGGAATATTCATCTGGATATTTTCTTTTTTTTGAAGTGAAAAACATTTGTCTGGATTGTCTATGCAGTATAGAAGTTCTAGCTGTTTTCAAGAGGGGAGGCCAATTTAAGGGGCAGACAGGAACCAAGAAAAAGAAGAAAAGAATGTCTAAGATAACTCGAAAGGCAGTGGTAAACATGCATTGAGGTGGTTTCACCAAACAATTGCAAGAGGAGAGATGATTTGAAGGAAACGTTCTCCTACTCTTTGCCCTAAGCATAGCATTGCTCCGTAGTTATTTTAGGAGAGGCCACAAAATTTTGCTCCGTAGTTTTTGGTCTGAATCATATGTTTGAAACTTGGATTGGTGGGGTGGATTCGCTGCTTGAAAAAGTGGTCCAGATGCGCGAATCGGCTGTCTAGATTGGTGTATCTGGGGATTCCGGCTGATCCGGCCTTAAAATTTATTAACAAATTGCTAAAATTTCTTTAAAATCTAGTTTTTTAGGTTAAAAAAATATGTATTTTATTATGGGTTTTTTCATATTTTACTGGAAATATTGAATCAGATGATGTTTAGCGCACTAAAATATTGGAAAGCAATCCAAAAGGATGGAGTAAAAAGACTAATATTCTAGGGAGATTTATGAATTATGCAAAATTTAACATTTTACCCATTTGCAATTGTTCCAACTTATACGATGAATTTTTTTTATGTTTTCTAAACTTTGAGTTTGGTCAATGGAATAAATGCAACAACCCAAGTTCATATCCAATGGTCAAGATTAATTGTGATCTCATTATATCAATGGTTTCTTTGTATACAATCCCTTATGTGAAAAAAAAAAAAACAAAATTGAGATATGGAAAAATCTTGAGTTAGGGTGCATTGGTGGGAGTTCCCAATGAAAATGGCATTGCCCTCTAGAGCCCTAACAGGACTGGGAGAAGTTAAATGTAAATACGAATGAGAATGAGAGAGAGAGGGTTAAATAAGTGAATGGGAGGTAAGAGAGAGATAATTTGATAGCAACAAGTGCAAGAGAGAGGGAGGTAGATGGTAAAAAATCATCATCATATAGAGACAGATGGTCAAATAAGAGGGTGAAAACGAATGAGGAAATATAATGAGAGGAGGTCAAATACGTAACAAATGAGTGAAAATGAGAGGGAAAAGGGGTGGGGTGAGTCATTCTTGATAAAATATGAAGTTATTCATAATTATTTTTATTCCTTGGGCTCTAAACCTTTCAGGTTGTTTGTGGCTAGAGACGATTAGAAGCTAGAGAGCTACGTACTTTTGATTCCAGCTTATCCACCCAAAAAGAATGTATTAAATACCAATGGGTAAGTAATAAGTAGACACTGATTAGTCCCACATCAGGGAAATATGAGTTATTGGGAAGTAACGCGCTATAAATGGTTTACTCTACTACGGTTCAACCCAAAATTGGAGAAGGGCATACTTACGTGGGCCACAATCACACCATCTCTCTTAATGAGATCTCTTAGTTCCCGGCCCATTCAAGTGGGAATTGCCCGGTTCCCTATATTGTCAGGGAAGTAGGGCCGATTCTAGTGGGAATTGCCTCGTTTCCTGTATTGTCAAGGAAGTAAAACTTTCATCGACTATTCATTCTCGGGTTGAATCAGGTAATTCTAATCTTGCCCATCAAATTTTTAATGGTGCAGTTGGGCAAGTCTGGTTGTGGCCTAAAACTGCAACTCGTTCGTGTTTAGAAAGAAACCTGGCAACTCGTTCGTGTTTAGAAAGAAACCTGGCAATTATGATGTCACAAACACTGGGCACACCAGGCGGGCAAGTCTAGAAAGAAACCTGGCAATTATGACGTCACAAACATCGGGCAATTATGACGTCACAAACACAAAAACCTAGATCGGGCACACCAGGCGGGCAACTCTAGAAAGAAACCTGGCAATAATGACATCACAAACACCGGGCAATTATGACGTCACAAACACAGAAACTTGGCAATTATGACGTCACAAACACCATGCACACCGGGCAATTATGTGATGTCACAAAGCAATGATGACATCACAAAAACTTGGCAATTATGACGTCACAAACACCATGCACACCGGGCAATTATGTGATGTTACAAAGCAATTATGATGTCATATAAACTTGGCAATTATGACCGGCACACTGGGCAATTATGTGATGTCACACATCAATTATGACATCATAGAAACCTAGCAATTATGATGTCACAAAAAACTTGGCACTTATGACGGGCACACCGGGCAATTATGTGACGTCACAAAGCAATTATGACGTCACAAACACCGGGCAAAGAAACTTGTTGGGGCAACCCAAGCAATTATGTGACGTCACAAAGCAATTATGATGTCACAAACCTAAAACCGCAACTCAAGAAACCAGGCAATTATGATGTCACAAACACGGGCACTTGCAAGTCAGGCATGTGCATACATGTGTGACGAGCACGCACAAGCGTCCCACAAAGCGACAACCTTTCACACACGCAATGTTTTGTGGTACCAGTGAGTAATTA